CGGGGTTGGAATTTCCACAAAGAAAGAACAAAAATCCTGACTGCCATACTTAAATCTGCTGCCTTGGAAGATGCTCCTGCTGTTCAGAGACTGGAAGGGATCTGTCCTTCTTTCCCTCCTGGACTTTTATTTGGAGGGGAGAGGAGATCTGATCCATTGTAAATACTTTATGTCATGGTAGAGATATTGTGATCGTGTGTATAATGTGATATGGTATTTATCTGTACAGTCATTGTAATATATTCCCTTTCCCCATTCTGAGTCTGGTGTGTTTTGTCTGGAAAAACCCATCTCACATTAGGTTGAAATGTGGGAGGGGGCTTAGACTAGGGGATTGGATTTTGGGGCTATCTCAAACCATGACAACTATGCTGTAGAAAATTGCTGCAGAGGAACATTGTCACTATGTGTATAGGCGGAAAGCCTTGTCCCCTGAAACTTGCAGCTGATACAATGACCAAAGAACTCTGAGAGAGTTTGTAATTTTTACCTGAGAACATATTGAAACCACATCCCAAACTGCTGGTTTTAATCTTGTAATCAGTGATTTGTGTCGCTCTACTGTGCTTTCGTACTCAGAGACCCTGGCAAAGCTCAGTTGCGTGACGGACAGTGGTCGGTGAGGACACCTGACACTCTTAATTTCTCAACAATTTCTCTTTTGCTAACCATGCATGTTGCCTTTGGTTATGCATTCCAACTTCTCTCTTTCGGTTATAATTGGAAGGAGTTTGCATTAAAAAATATCCAGAAGTGTTAAAATATTTAAGACGTAAAACTTCTTCAACAAAGATAGAATGGGAAGCAGAAAGGAGACTGACCTCTGTTTGAAGTCAGCATAGAGGATTCTGCTCGGGAATCCTTTCCTGCAGATCCTGATCCCTTCCAACACGCCATTACAGCGCAGCTGGTGCAGCACCAGCTCGTGCTCCATGGCACCTGAGCAAATAAGAAAACCATTTGATACTTTATGATAAAGCATAGAGAATAATGGCTTTATCAGACTATTTCTTCTCTGAACTTGGGGTTCTTACCAGGTGTTTTAGATTCATTGGGGATGATACAGCGCACAAAATGGGGGTGAGTGCTCCGCAGATTGGTCATCAGCTTGTTCAGGTTTTCCTGTGGGTTAATGAGCAAAGATTTTTCATTTAGAAATGGTACTTCTTTAGTTATACTTCCAGATGTGAGTAAAGTCTTGGAAGGTGTTAATGGGTTTGTAATTCCCAACTAAAGCCATCTGAATTTTTTCTCTGCCTTTCACTCTTGAGCATGAGAGAAAGTCATGTGTTTTTATGAGACAGAGGGATACATGCACTGAGCCAGGACATCTATGGAGAATGGTGACTTGTTATTCATAGCAAAAAGCGTAATTTTGAGTAAAAGATGATTCTTTGTAATCTCTAGATCCTTACTCTGTGGAAGACACTATTGATGTGATCAGAAAAAAACAAAAAGAGAAGAGGGACAAGGACCGTGTTTGCAGAGAAGGCTGGGAAAGGGAAGCTTAATGGTCTTAGATGCTACTTGTGAAGATACATTTGACAAAGATTGAGCAGGACATGACAGGAAAGATTCCCTGTTCAGTGAGAATGGGGGTCAGAAATCGTAGAACAAAGGTATGAGTGGCAGGCCCTGCAGCACCCCTTTGTAGAAGTGCTTTTAAAAGCAAATCCAGGAACTATATCTGACTTTAGCTATCAGTTTTACTAACTAGGTCCTAACACATCTCAGTTTAGCCCTGGTTTGGAGCAAGGGCAAAGCTGTTCAGGCAAACACCTCTTTCACAGTGTGAGAAACTGTTCAGGGTGCCACATACTAGTTACATATCACAAGTGCAGAAACAAGAGTGTTTCAGTCTGCCTTAAGCTCTGCCCATTGGTAGAAAGGTAATTGGCTTTGGCATTTCTCTATTGCCTTGTCTTCATATGTAGAATCGTGTGAAAACAATGTGTTAGGTATTATGTCTTATATATTATCATGTGCAAATGCACATACATTTGCATGTGCGATCAAGACTTAAGATTCCCTGAGGCAGGTACCCAGATCGACCATTGTCCTCATATGGCAAAGGGAGAGGATGAAGAGCTTGATCCTGCCAACCAGTGTACTTGTAAATAAATAAAACTGTAGCCTGAATTATGTACTTTTTCCAGCAATTGAAGAGAGGCAAGATCAAGATGTATCTTCCTCAGCTGGCCTCAGCTGACTTCCTGTCAGCTCTTTTATGAATAACCAGAGATGTTCTTGATGCAAAAAAATTTTAACAGGTGCAGTGAAATGGCTTTGTTGCCAAAAAACCAAAACCAACCAAACAAAAAAACTCAGGAAAAAGTAGAGAGAATGACTTTTGTACTCACCCTGAACAGAGCTGACACTGTCTGGAAAGAAGAACCCTTCTTCTTGCCTCCCTTCTTGCCACCACCACCACCACCACCACTAGCCTCTGAAGAACACCAAAAAAAAAAGATGATTTTACAACTTTTATAGAACAAGTTTGTTCATATATACCAGTCATGATAAAAATGGAACCTAGAAAGCAATAGAGTCAACACTCAATCTGAAGGAGCACAGGACTAAAGGTATGTGATAATCCAAGGGACTATAATGGCTGAGTGGAAGGCCTAAAATACATTGGATCTTTTTCTTTATTAATAAATTCAAGCGAGGGGAGGCTCTGCACAACATGCAGTTTCTTTAGAACACTAGCTGATATTCATGACTCTGGTCATCATGGCCAGTCTTCGCGAATGAAGATTTGGGAAAGGTCTTTACCCTTCGAGCATGCGCAGTGGATTTTTTTAGGTGAGACACAGTGTACGCTGAACTGAGCCCACCCTTTAATCCTACAGTTCATCTGCTGGGGCTGAGCGAGCTCGGACGGTGGCAGCGAGGTCCTCAGGACGTAGGTTTGTTTAGAGTGACCTTCTCTTAGATGGATGGCCTTACAGGGCTGACGAGCTCCATCTGCCCGGAGGAGTTCCCTGACCGGGAGAGTGCCGCATCCTAACCACTAGACCACCAGGGGGCCCCTATGGCTCTGGTAGAATCATTAAATAAATATGAAAATATGAATTTCAGAGAACTGACCTGCCTCTCCTCCAGCAGAGGCAAAGAGTAAGGCTAGGGTCTTCAGGGATGATTTCTGATACAGCCCCACCACTGTTTCATTCAGAGGGTCCTTGTTCTTGTCAAGCCACCCAGTGATGTTGTAGTCCACTGTGCCAGCATAGTGCACCAGGGAGAAGTGGGCCTCAGCCTTGCCTTTGCCAGGCTTGGGCTTCTGGAAGTTGTTGGACTTGCCCAGGTGCTGGTCATAGAGCTTGTTCTTGAAAGAGGTGTCAGTTGCCTTGGGGAACATGCACTCCTCTTCCAGGATGGAGAAGATGCCCATGGGCTGGAAGAAGCACAAGGAAGAAGGAAGATGTGAAAAGGCAGAAAGACTGACAGATGAAATAAATTCCTGAGTGGGACAATATTACTGCTCTCAGGGATTGTTCTTCCACTCAGCAAATTGTAAAATAATCTAAACTTATGTGTTTGCAATATTCACCCTTTCCATCTACATCTATAAATATATATAAAATTAATGCATTTCTGAAAATACTTCACATTGTGAATTACAGAAATACCTTCTCAATGAGCTCAATGCAGGCAGCCAGGTCCATCCCAAAGTCAATAAACTCCCATTCAATTCCCTCCTTCTTGTACTCCTCCTGCTCTAGCACGAACATGTGATGGTTGAAGAACTGTTGCAGTTTTTCATTGGTGAAGTTGATGCACAACTGCTCCAGGCTGTTGAACTGCACAGTTACAAATAGAGATTACTATTAATGTAAATAGAGTAATAAAGAACAGTGCTGGCTTTTTGTACCAAACACAGGAGAATCTGCCAGTGTTCCTTCTTTACTCATCGAGGAGTTTGGAACTTCTGCTAGTGTGTCTCTTTGCTCAAGCTAAACTTTCTCCATATATTTATGACCTTAGAAGCTTAGGTCATCTCAATGATTAAAATTTATGAGTTTTGATATCTACTAGACTGAGTTAATTCAGTTACAGGATCGTCCACAGCACAACAGTGTATCCAACATTTTCAAGTGCTGATATCAAAGCACGTCCTAAGCCTTCTAAGCACAAATTTTTTCTGTGGAACTAGTGTCTCATTATTAGGTACCAAATGCCATCTTAGTCTACTGCTTGTAATAGGTTGAAAAATTGCCCTTAGAGATTTCCACTGGCGTATGTGCAACACAAAAATCTATTCCCAATTAAAAACCTTTTGGAATCATGATGCTTTAGATAGAATATGAAAGGATCAAACCATTTATGAAAAAAAAAGGTAAGTACTTCAGCACATAATAGAGTTACTTCAAAAATCACAGTGATAAACCCCTATTCCTTACGTCAAAGATCTCAAAGCCAGCAATGTCCAGCACACCAATGAAGTACTGCCTGGGCTGCTTCGTGTCCAGCTGTTGGTTGATGCGAACAACCATCCACAGGAACATCTTCTCAAACACAGCCTTTGCCAGGGCACCCACTGAATTGTACACCTAAATGTAAAACAGAAGGCTTGTAGGCTTCATGCAGCGTAGAAGAGAAAGTCTAGAGATTTGTCAACAGAACGGGGGTTTTGTTACCTGCTGCACTGTTTGGCCCTTGGTCACATATTCATTCCCCACCTTGACTCGGGGGTAGCAGAGGGCCTTGAGCAGGTCTGCTGAATTCAGACCCATCAGGTAGGCAGCCTTGTCAGCAACTAAAGCCCCAAAAGTCAATTGTTAATGTAAAAGTAGACCTTAGTGTTTCTTAAAAAAATTATCAAAAGGAAATTCGAGTAAATATCAAATTATTAGTAAAGATAAAAAACATATTAATGGAAACATTCTTTAGTAGTCACTGGACTTAATATTTTACAATGGTCAAAATAATCTGCAGCTTCCACTGAGTTGTGTTCCTCCAGAGAACAGTGTGTCTGGTTAGGACACACTTCTATTCTACAATACTGGCACTGGGGAAATGCACAGGCTGAGTCAAGGATTCTGACCCTGAATTGCTGCCTGTATTTTTCGTGAGTGTTTGGTGTCTACAGTGCTTTGGTATATGTTGTGCTGGTACCTTCAGTGCCATCAGGCTCTGCCTGCTCCTCACGCTGCTTCTGCTTGAACTTCAGGTTCCCGTAGTGCATGACGGCCCCTGTCAGCTTGTAGATGGCTGTTTTCTCGTCAGGAGTGAAGCCCAGGATGTCAATGGCACTCTGAAAAAAAGTGTCACTAGAGTAAGTACGCCAGCTGTTAAAGGTCAGAGAAATAAAAGTTCACCTAGAAAACTTCTGAACTTACATCCGTGGCCATCAGCTCTTCCTGGTCGTTAATGCTGGGAACAGTGATCTCACCTTGACTCACGTACTGATAGTCATATGGGTTGGTGGTGATCAGTAACATCTCTGAAAATAGGGACAGAACAGACACGGGTCAAATGCAATTGGCACATAAAGGAGTTAAATGCAGTGACCTTTGCCTGGAAGAGTTAGTGATCTTTCCTACCAATCAGCTCTGGCTTCTTGTTGGACATGATCTGATAAAAGATGTGGTAGCTTCTTTCTGCCTTGAGCTGGAAAGTGACTCTGGACTTCTCCAGCAGATCTGGCAAGGATGGCAGGACAGAGTTAAGCACAAGAACTGAGGAAGGCTGGAAGGAAGGGGGTCAGGCCAGGAGGGGCTCTTACATGTTTCAATGTCAGCAGAAGCCAGTTTGCCTGTGGCACCAAAGTGGATTCTGATGAATTTACCCTGAAAGCAGCAGAAAAGTCAATCGAGATCTATTTTACCAATACCAATTGCAAGAATATTTGAGTCGATCTCAACTGTTGTCCCAGGTAACAACTCACAAAGCGCGAGGAGTTGTCGTTCCTCACGGTCTTGGCGTTTCCAAAGGCCTCCAGCAGTGGGTTGGCACTGATGATTTGATCCTCAAGTGTCCCCTAAAATGGAAATCTTCTTGTCATGATTTAGCTCCTAAATAAATTTGATAGTTTCAGGTTCCTACTCCTGCAGGGACCTCACCTGCATTTTGCCTGATGTCTGCTCCTCCTTCTTCTTGTCCCCGCTGGCTGCAATTGTTGCAAAGTACTGGATGACACGCTTTGTGTTCACAGTCTTCCCGGCACCGGATTCTCCGCTGTCAGAGCAAGGAGAGAAGCAGAGAGCGTGTGGTCAGGCAGGAGGGGCCCTGGCCCTGGGCAGCCCCTCAGGGACCCGAGCAGGGGGTGTACGTACGTGATCAGGATGGACTGGTTCTCCCGATCTGGGGAAGAGGCAGAAAAAATAGGTTTTATAAGCAAAGAACACAAAAATACTGAAAATTACAATGATAAGAAAAAAGAAGTTGCTTTTTTTATTTCTTTGTTTACTCCTAAGGAGATTTTTTTCAATTTCAATTCCTTGCAAAGTAATTTGCACCACTTTCTTACCTCTGAACATATACTCAGTGTTCATGATCTGAAATTAGAGAGGTATGGATTTGATGGGTGAACTGTTACATGGATAAGGAGCTGGCTGGAAGGCTGCATCCAGAGGGTTACAGTCAAGAGTTCCATGTCCAAAACTTTAATGAGTGGTGTCCTCCAAGGATTTGCAGTGGGACCAATATTGTTTAATACCTGCATACATAGTAGGACTGAGCACACCCTCAGCAAATTTGCAGACCACACCAAGCTGAGTGGTTTAGTTTATAAACCTGTGGTAAAGGATACCATCCAGGTGGACCTTGCCAGGATTGCGAAGGTGGCCCATGTGAACATCATGAAGTTCAACAAGGCAAAATGCAAGGTGTTGCACCGAGGTTGGAGCAGTCTCCAATATCAGCCTAGGCTGAGGGGTGACTGGCTTGAGAGCAACCCGACAAAGAAGGTTTGGGGGTACTGAAGGATGAAAAATTGGACATGAACTGGCAATGGGCACTTGGAGTCAGAAAGCCAATCCGATCCTGGGCTGCATGAAAAGAAATGTGGCCAGCAGGGCAAGGTAGGTGATTCTGCCCCTCTCCTCTACTCTTGTGAGATGCCTCATAGAATAATCTGTCCAGATCTGGGGTTGCCAGTGCAATACAGGCACAGACCTGTTAGGGTGGGTCCAGAGGGCACTATGAAAATGATCTGTGATCTGGAACATCTCTCTTATGGAGACAGGCTGAGAGAGTTGGGATTGTTCAGCCTGGGTAGAGAAGGCTCCAGGGATGTCTTATTGCAGCCTTTCAGTCCTGAAAGAGGGCTTATAAGAAAGACAACAACTTTTTACCAAAGTTGTAGTGACAGAACAAGGGGTAACAGCTTTATAGACTCAAAGAGAGTAGATTTTATGATGATGGATGTGAGCCGCAGTAACAGGTTGTCCAAAGATGTTGTCAATATCCTATCATTGGAAGTGCTCCAGGACATGGTGGACAGAGCTTTGAGCAATGTAATCTAGTGGAAGATGTCTCTACAAATGTCATAGGGAAGGACTATGTGATTTTTAGAGATCCCTTCCAGCACAGGCCATTCTGTAATTCTATAATACTGTTCCATGGACATTGAAGACGCTTGAAGAGCCACATGTTACTTCTCTGTACCACTCTATGGTCTTTTTTTCCCCTGCATACAGTAAATCGTTTTAATTTTCTGCTGCACGGACTGGTTTTAGAGCAGTAGAGAAGGGGAGAGTAAGGACCCATGACAAAGGAATCCTGATGATGGGTAATACTTCTGAACTCAATAGCACAGAGAAAGAAATGAAAAGGTGGAAACAATACATAACCTTATTTCATTTTTCATTACATGGTTTTGTCAAGAGAAATCTGAACAGTTCTATTATTGATGTTTCCTGTGGCCCTTCGATGAATTAGATCATTGGACAGAATTTTCACATATTTCTATGTATATGGATTTCATATCCTGTTCACTTTCACTGCTTCATTACAGACCTAATTATATTCCTTGCTCCACCTAGTCCATTGTTTGTCTTATTGTTTTTCCTGACACAGTATCAGGGGTACTGTACATCCCTTTTAGAAATACTGATGTGAAAAAAATCCTGTTTAAATTAAAAGTTAATAATGCCATGACTGAAATAAACCTTAATGACCTACTTAGATATTATCATCAGATTTATCAGGGAAACTCTGGGAACACTTTTAAAATATCTTTTTGATGAAATCACCCTGAGAGCCACTCACCAGTCAGCATGAACTGATAGGCGTTGTCAGAGATGGAGAAGATGTGTGGAGGGGCCTCCTGGCGCTTCTTGCCTCGGTAGGCCAACACCACCTCCGGGTTGTACACGGGCAGCCACTTGTAGGGGTTGACAGTGACGCAGAAGAGACCCGAGTAGGTCTGTGAGGAAGGGACACAGCACATTGGCTTCCCCTGGGCCTGGCAGAGCAGTTCCTCCAACTGCCCAAGGGAAGCTGCTGCTGCCACTTACGTAGATCATCCAGGCTGCGTAACGCTCTTTGAGGTTGTACAGCACAGCGGGTTCGTGGAGGTGGGTCATCATGGCCATGTCCTCAATTTTGTCATACTTGGGAGGGTTCATGGAGAAGATCTGATCTTCCTTCACGGTCAGGGTCTGTCAGAGGGCAGGAAGGGACAAGCATGTCAACTCAGAACCAGAGTGGGAATAAAAGGCTGTTTACAAATCTTACATGTTACCCACCTCTCCCTTTTCAGTCTTGACAGTGACCTTCCCTGATTCCCTGCTCTGGATTGTGCTTTTCACATAGGATTCTTTTGCATGTACCACAAAGACGGATGACTTGGCATCGAAAGGCTTGTTCTGGGCCTCGATTCTCTCCTTCTCTGACTTCCGGAGGTAAGGAGCCGCCTCCCCAAAGATGGCCATCTCGGCGTCTGTCGACATGGCTGTGGTTTATGACATGCAGCAAGGCACTGCGCTGGAGTGGAGGCAGAGTGCTGAGGGAAGGAAGAAAGTCCTTTGTACCGGAGACCTGAATCTTGGTAGTTTTCTGCTCTGCCTATTCTTACAGTCTGCCTCTCTGTTCTACCTGCTTTTCACCCTAGATGTCTTTTAATTTACTTAGGTCTTAAAGAAGAAAGATTTCTTTGATTAAGGTTAAATTTTTTCTCTCTTATTGCAGTTTATGTGTTCAGTTCAGATCTCGTGGTGTTTCAGTAAGCTATACAGAAAAGTTGGATTGATGGCACAGTCAAGACTATTCAAAGATGCAGCAAAGATACCAAGCAGAAGCAGAAGAAATACCAAGAGAAGTCATCTTATCGAAATTATGAAAGCCCACTTGTATTGTTTCTGTCTTGCCCATTTTAGACCATGTAATTTTTATCAACTATAGAGATGGAGCAACATAAGGAAGAAGATGTGGAGTAAGCAGAAGCAGAGGTATGAGTTGTCCATGCAAACATTTTTCCTCAGTTATAAATCAGACTTTGTCTCCTCCAATTGTTCTGCCTTTTTCAGTTCAAGCTAATCTTTTAAGATTAACTTGTACCAAAGGAGGAAAATAAAAAAATACATTAATAAAAAACATTCAGAGGGATTTGACAAAATCTTAACTTAAAATGTGCTGGTCTTTCACCTTCTCTTTCCTGGATTTTGTTTGCATTCAATCTGCTTTTAAGAGTTCTGTGCGTAAGAGGTCAATTATTTCCCAGCAGATACCAAACAAATGTGTCCAACCCAGTTATGAAAGGAAATTTGCTCTTTTAGAAAGCACAGGTTAGGTAGAATTGCACTGCATTAGTGTGCATAGATGTAAAGGGGTATGGAAAGTGGCCTTACAGGTGCATAAAAAAAGCCAACTTGGAGTCTATTCCTATAGAGTAGGTAAATCAGTCTTACCTCTTGTGACACCAGCTGACTCTCAGGCTGGAAGATGGTCAATACTGAAAAAGAGAAATGCAACTTGCCTCTTATCTTTGCACAGACTCCAAAGGATAAGTCATAGGGGAAAAATATGCTGGTGACTTGAATGCAGAATCAAAATGACTATTGATACAGACAGTTCTTTAAGGAAAGCAGTTCTACAAGCAGTAGGAATGCAGTGAGATTCTGCCAGCACCCAGTCCTCCATACTCTTACCTTTAATCTTTCCACAGAGACAGAACAGACTTGTCCTATGAGCACTTTTATAGGTTCTGGTTTGCTCATTCAACTCCCTCCTCCTCTTTCGTAGGTCAAAAAATTTTTGGCAAAGCATTGTTTGGCAAAGTAGACTGAGTGCATGATTCCCATTTGGGCTCGTGGATATATTTAGAAATATCTGAAGTGTTCCTAGCTATGTGAATAAAAGTCCTATAAATATTTTGACTTGGAATCTGGAAGGAGGAAATGCTGTCCAGCAAATAGAACAGTAGGACTGGGTCTTGGAATTGTTGGCTTCTCTTCTTCTTACTATGAATTCCTGTTTGACATATAAGATTTGTGTGTCTCAGGACTCAGCAGCAGTGAGAAGGATTATTATTACAAGAGCTTTGGAGAGATTCTCTTCAGAAATATTCTGGAAAGAAGGAATAGGAACAATCCAGTATGGTCTAATTCTAATACTGGACAACCATACTTGTTTTACTGCATCTATTTACAACTCCTTAGTTTTTTGCTGGGTACTTTCAAAAGATCAGATTATTCCCCTTGCTTCATACATTTATTTACATCATTTACATTCTTCTGAAGTATTGCCTATTGGCTCTGATTTGAAATTCAATTTTAAAGGTATTATTTTGCTGCTCTCCATGCTTGGCTGTGCTGGTTTGCTCAAATGTGTGTCCGGCAGAAATTTCGTAGTGTCACATGAACAGGAATTCCTTAGCATGCATTTTACATCCTTCAGCCTTTAGGTGTATCGGGAGCTTTAACTTGGCAATCTGCTGCTGTTGTAGAGATCTTGGACTACGGCTATAGTTACCAAATGAAAGAATGGGATTTAGGTCACAAACACACCTTCTCCAGCCTTCCCAAGCACAAACACAGACTCCACAGAAATGTAGAGAACTCCTGGGAGGATTTTCATTTCCTTTGCAAAGAGGTACATAGGATCTGCAATTCTAAGTTCTTCCATGGAGCTTGGATGAGGTGCTGTGGTTCTGTACCATATTCTGAAGATTCGTGTTTTGCCTCAAACATCAGGGAGTTGAAGCACTGTAAGAAGAGTCAGAGAGAGTGATCAGTCTTCTCAACTCATTGCTCTAAAAAACTTTTGTGTGCTTCCAACACTGCATGTATGACTGAGACATCTGAGATCAAGAATTCTTTTGAGGCTGCCAATGTCCTTCTGCAAAATAAATGTAGAGATTTTATAATTTCTGTTTCAAAGGTAATATTGTGTGTCTGTAGAATTTTCTTTGAAGAAAACGTCATCCTTTAGCATGTAAAACAGGTAAAGGGAGAGAGAGATTTTCCTTTCCTCTTTCCTCTTCTACTGCATTATGTAATTGCTTAACAAAGAATAGACTTGGTTGTTCTTTATATATCACATGAAATTAACTCCAAGATGGATCTGCAATTTTTTGATAAACATGATTGTTGACATAATGTGTTCCAAGTTGTGTGGGAACTGAAAGCTTAGCAACTGAAATCCACATAGCTGAAAGAAACTTCCCATCCAATATCCACTTTTATCGTTATTGCTGTGTTTATGGATCTAGTTGCAGCTGCAAAATGATTGTTTACATTTCGGTTTCCCTCCTGGGTCCTCTGCACATGTTAATTAAAGAGCATGACATGGATGCCAGTACACCGGTTCAAAGATCACACTTGCAGTATATCATTCTCTCTGTCAGTTTGGCATCTTGTATTTTATTTCACCTCCTAGAGTAATGGAAATCAATTGGGAAGGCAACAAATTCAAGAAGTTGTAGCAGATAACTTGTTCTTCTGTTTCTTTCTGTGCTAGAAGCTGATAATGCTTGGGTTTTGTCTGCCTAGTTCAGGAAATAGCACTTCGCATGTATTCTTCCCACAGTGAGAACACCATCAGGTCCCAAAGCCATTCTAGGGCTCTGAGTTTTGTTATGCCTTGCCTCTTCATGTTCTGTGAATTTTCTGAATATTTTTCCGTCTTCTTGACATCTCATGAGCCCGTTAAACTCCAGACTTTTTACAGAATTTGTTAAACTGGGATGGGATACCATTAACTTGTGCTTAAACCACTTTCTTGGGTTTTCAAATTTTGGAAAAGATTGCATAAAATTTTTTCACTTGTGGGTGGAAAAAAGATTCATACCTACAAAGAGGTGATGGTTCTGTTTGTCCTGTGGTTGTTTATGAAGGTGGACTTCATGCTACTGGACAAGTCATTGACCTCAGTCGTCAACTCACCTTTCTCCTTTGCCGGCTTCTGCTTGATGCTTTGAGGGGTTTTGATCCCCAAATTCACCAGTCTGCAGTAGAAAAAGAATAATAACCCCATAGGACCACAGAAGTGTCAGTGATAAAGGACCTCTAGGGGTCCTTACTCATGTTTTCAAGTCACAAAATCATCTCATCTCTCTCAAAAATTTGTTGCCATAGTGCACTATCCACTTACTGAGAAAAATTTCAAAGTGAAAAGAATTTTAAAATTATAAATGAAAACTACTTTTAGTCTAGTCAATACTTTGCATTGTGTTTAATGTTGTTTAGTTCACCTTGGATCTAGAGGAGTGAAATTCACAGATGGGAACAACTACATGGTTCATCACATTTTATGGTTATTTTTTGGTTTATCATTTATAAAAATCTGGATGAGGGGAAGGCTGTGGATATAGTCTACCTGGACTTCAGCAAAGCCTTTGACACCGTCTCCCACAGCATACTCCTGAAAAAGCTGGTAGCCCATAGCTTGGACAGGGGCACGTCTGTGCTGGGTTAGGAATTGGCTGGAGGGCCCAGAGAGTGGTGGGAACGGAGCTGCATCCAGTCGGGATCCGGTCACCAGTGGTGTCCTCAGGGATCAGTGTTGGGCCCAGTTGTATTTAATATCTTTATTGATGATTTAGGTGAGGGGATTGAGTCCACCATCAGCAAATTTGCAGATGACACTAAGTTGGGGGGGGCATGTTGAGCAGCTGGAAGGCAGGAGGGCTCTGCAGAGGGACCTGGACAGGCTGGAGAGTTGGGCTGATTCCAACAGGATGAGGTTCAACAAGGCCAAGTGCTGGGTCCTGCACTTTGGCCACAGCAACCCCCTGCAGCCCCACGGGCTGGGGACAGAGGGGCTGGAGAGCAGCCAGGCAGAAAGGGAGCTGGGAGTGTGGATTGACAGGAAGCTGAACATGAGCCAGAGTGTGTCCGGGTGGCCAAGAGGGCCAATGGATCGTGGCCTGGACCAGGAAGAGTGTGACAGCAGGACCAGGGAAGTGATTCTTCCTCTGGACTCAGCGCTGGTGAGGCCACCCCTGGAGTGCTGTGTCCAGCTCTGGGCCCTCAGTTCAGGAAGGCCATGGAGGGGCTGGAGCAGGTCCAGAGAAGAGCAACGAGGCTGGGGAAGGGACTGGAGCACAAGTCCTATGAGGAGAGCGTGAGGGAGCTGGGGTTGTTGAGCCTGGAGAAGAGGAGGCTCAGGGGAGACCTCTTCACTCTCTACAACTCCCTGACAGGAGGGGGGAGCCAGGGGGGGGTTGGTCTCTTCTCCCAGGCAGAGATCAGTAAGACAAGAGGGCTGGGTCTTAAGCTGTGCCAGGGGAGGTTTAGGTTAGATATTAGGAAGAAATTCTTTACAGAAAGGGTAATCAGGCATTGGAATGGGCTGCCCAGGGAGGGGGTGGATTCTCCATCCCTGGAGGTTTTTAAGATGAGACTGAATGTGGCATCAGTGCCATGGCCTGGGAACCATGGCAGAGTTGGACTTGATAATCTCAGAGGTTCCTTCCAATCCAGCTGATTCTATGATTCTATGATTCTATGATTTAAGCGATTAAGTGATT